TTTCTCTTATCTCACTAATACATTTTTTAAATTTATATGAGTTTGGTAATTTTTACATACCAAAAACTATGAGTTGAAAAAGACGAAAAATTTCCATCCACAATTACATACTGAAGAAATTTATCCAATTATAATTTCGTAAAAATTGTCTGTGTTAAACAACTTTCGCACATACAAGAAAAATTCTTGTGAAATTATTAATTATCGGTCATTCAATGTCATTCAATAATTATTTCTGATATCTTTGTGCTTTCTTTAGGAGTTTTTTAAATGTGATAAAAAATGTCGTTACTATCAATTTTATTGCGTCAACAGCTTAGCCTAATTGTCAGTACACACTAATCTATGCAACATGTACAATGCAATTTACAAGAAAGATCGTCACATCGTAGTATCGGGTTTTGTTTGATTCACTGGATGGTAAGGAGGAATCTAGAATCCGCTGCCGGTGTCTGATAGTTCGCTGTGTAGGCGGTATAGGTGGTACTCAAAGGATTGGCCAGAGGCACCATACGCGAGGGGTTGTCGTATTGGTATTGCACTTGCGCGGCCACGGGCTCAATCTCAAGTTTCTGTGGCTTGGCTTCTGTGGATGCAATCGCGGCAACTGGAGCGACCGGGGCAACGGACAATTCCAAACTAGCTGGCACGATCTGCAACTTCTGCAAAGGTGCATACGCGTAAATCGGACCACGAAGAGGCTCCACGTTCTCGGCGCGAATCTTGGCGAAGTACTTCATGGCCTCGACATTCTGACGGCTGATGTACCGCACGCGCTGAAGACGACCGTCGGGAAGTGCCACGTAGTACTCTCCTGATTGCTGAGGTTGCTTCTCATCAACATCCTCGTCTTCGAGCTCGTTTACTGAATTCACGGGCTCGGACTGAAATAATAATGTTGGAATTTATTTTGACATCAATCGCTGTCATTGAACTTGTATACTGAAAGAGGAAGTAAAATGTAGATATTTATATTATCAAAAATATTGTTAAAACATTTCGTTTCGAGATAAATATGCAACATAAAAATCTATTTTTTTTTTGTAAAATCGAATATATTATAATTGTAATAAGATATTTTTATTCTTAGTAAAAATTTTTAAAAATTTATAGTATCAATTATGTTTAAAAAATTATCGCATATTATTATCCGACACGAATTTCACAGAGATTATTTACTGAATAAATCTTTAGAAACTATATATTATATAAAGCGAATAACTTTTCGTTTTTCAGTAAATTCATTTGTTCGGCAAGAGGAAATTTCTCTGTTTTTTTTCCGATATCCTGCCAAACAAGACGTAGACTCTCAGACGACCTCGAATCACGAGTGAATGCATTATGGGTTGTGTCACGCCAGTCTTCGAATTTGGTACGGACACACACGTGTACGCGATCGAAAGTAAACGACGTCTCGAATACTAATGTTAAGCGGGAGGAACGATGAGAACAAGCAAGCCGAAAAAGAAAAAGAGGAGTCTCTCACACGCACACGCACACACACACGCGTGCGCGCGCGCACACACACACACACACACACACACACACACACACACACACACACACACACACACACACACACACACATACAGAGTGTGCGATTTAAATTCCGCGGAACTTCACTCTTGTGTAGATTCGCATGCCAACTCAATGGTCCAGCACGTTTTCTTTCCCGAGCAAAATGATAAATCTATGTTACGTAGTATTATATAAAGTTGAAAAATGTGCACATTCGATAAAATTTATTCCAAAATGGAATGAAATTGAAATTTTCGGTGATTACAAGTTCTTTAATAAATTTTAGTTGACGTTAAGATTGTGATTAATTAATTATCCCTATAAAGGAAAAATATAAAAATTTTCTTCATAAATCCCATTTGTACATATTTAGCGTAAGCTAATTTCCAATTAGTAAGATATTGTATTTCATATTTATCAAATTTGCAATATATATTAATTTTGGATTTGAAGTTCTTTATAACAAAAATTTAACTACAATTATTTTTCTTTACTTTGATTTTTTTCACATCAAATGATTTTTTTCACATCAAATAATTTTTAAATTTCAATAATTCCAAAAAAAAGAAGATTCATGTTTTACTTACCTCAGATTCGGTGATGCCTTGAACAGTAGATACTTCTTCCTCTTCGGTGGTATTAGGAGTCTCAGTCGTTGTCGATTCTTCCGGTTCTCCTTGTTGAGGACTTAATGGTGCTCCATATTGTTGACGAGGTGCATTTGGTGCTCCATATTGTTGCTGAGGCACGCTTGATGCTGCATATTGTTGCTGAGGTGTGCTTGGTGCTCCGTATTGTTGTTGAGGTATATTTGATGTCCCATACTGTTCCTGAGGCGCACTTGGTGCTCCATAATATTGCTGAGGCGCGCTTGGTGCTCCATATTGTTGCTGAGGTACATTTGATGCTCCATACTGTTGCTGAGGCACGATTGGTGCTCCATATTGTTGCTGAGGTGCATTTGGTGTTCCATATTGTTGTTGAGGCGCGTTTGATGCTTCATTTTGCTGAAGTTGTCTTTGAGGAAGATCAAAAGCGGCTCCCGCTGGTTTCCAGCCAGACGCGAAATAAGGAGCGGTCTCTTCCCGTTGCTGAGCAAAGTAATATTGTCTCTGTTGCTGACGGTATCTCGGTGGCTCAGCGAGGACCACGGTAGCCAAGAGGACGATACTGATGAAAACCTATTTTTGAAGATTAATTAATTGAATATTATTATAATTAAGTTAATTTGGGTATTATTTGTCAAGAGATCGATTCTTATCACGCGAGGAATCTTATCACGTTATCAGAAACTGTTCTAAGAATTGGATAAAAAATTAAATAATAAATTTATGACTACCTTCATCGTTGTACGATGACTGTTAGCCGGTTATGTTGACGAGCTGACTGAATTCGTCGTCCGCCGCCGGTGGATTATATACACGATGTCTCGTATGTGTTCTGCATATCTAAAGAGAATTATACCCTATAGCCAGGGTAGCGCGTTCACTGATCGGCGGGTGACATTGGCCTCCTAAAAGAAGCTGATGAATCCTCGATCATTGTTGGCTCATCATCCGGTCGCTCGCGCGCGTTCACCTTCGCTTTTGTCGGCGAACGAACGCCTTTTCAACAAAAGCGGCACTCTTTAATACTCGGTGTACGACCGACTTTTTCGTCCCCCTCAACTTCAAATTCCACCTTTCGCCCATTTTCGCACGTTGTGTTTGTTCCGGGCGCACGAAGCGAAAGAAATTGCGCTTCTGTCCTATCGACGATTAAATTTAAAATGGATTGAACGCGTGTTTGCATTCGCTACACCAGAGATTCATCACTTTTGCGAAACGGTGAATACGCAAACTCATTCGTTCAAAGTATATATTTTTATATATTTTTATATATAATGTTGTATATATTTATATACACATACATAAATATTGTGTATATTAATGTTTACTGAACTCTTTTTCTTCTCTTCTTTAGGTTCTTTAGATTATAATAAATCATTACAAAATTAAATTGTAAATATGCCATTAAAAGAAGCGTAAGTTACATTTTTAAAACGAAATAAAATTAAGTTTTCATTAAAAATAACCTTATCAAAATGAATTAAAGAATAAGATTTTTTTTATTATTCATGTCAAGTTATTATTAGAGCGTCTCGAGACATTTTTATTTAAATACACTCATTAGAATTTATAAAATGAGCATAAGATGCTACAGAATACGTTCATCGCCAAAATGTTTTGTATAAAATTTCTATTTTTTAAATTTTAAGAAAAGTCTTCGACTTATCTAATCCATCATGTTCTCATCCGCCCGTGACCGATGATCGAGTGCTTAACACATTTCACGGAGCAAGGCCGTGTTATGCGACGATTACGTCGTCGTAATTTTAACTCCGGCTCATCATGCACGGCATGCGTGTCGTACGTGTCGACCATTCTACGCACGGATTTCGCCGACGAGTCACAGCGATGCAACGCGTGACGATGATTCGTGCTAATCAATTCACTGGCGTACCCAATCTGACCAGCATCCGAGAAATAAGGAACGTAGATTGTTCCTATGCGTTCACGCTCGGGATTGAAACGCAGGGTCGCACGGTCGTCCGATCGATCGATCGCAACAATAGTTTGGAATTTATAATGATCGGTACCTCTCGTCTCACCTCGACGCGTACGTGTATAAAACGAGCTCTCATATGATCAGTGCCACATCATTTATGTGAAAGGAGACTTCTAAGGAGACTTCTAAAAAAGGAATTATGTCGATTTTTGGAACCAAATCCAATAAACTAGTGTCTGGTAGCACATTCGATATGATCCAAGATAACAATCAGCTTTATAGTTTTATGAATACTCAGAGAAAAATATAGTAGCACTTAAAATTTAAATTAACAGTTAAAAGTTTTAGATCCATGGCACAAAAAAAAACTAAAACGGTAAAAATGTAAGTAGTAAGGAAATTAACATGTTGAATTGGCTACTGCTTACATTATGATCTCTTCTGTGATTGGTCAATTTGCTTACGTTTTACTGCTTAAATTTTTTTGTGTGCCATGGCCCTTATTCCGTACTTGTGTAATCACATTTACGTTTGTAGAAATTGCTTGTTCAATATTTTTAAATATTATATATATATATATATATTAATAACTATGACCTAATTTATAGTTTTAATCCTGATTCACTCCGAAATGATTTAGGAAATGTTTATACTAGATTGATCTTACTTGTAAAAACGAAATGAAAGTAAAATGTCTGAATACTCTTCCATACATATTTACTTTTCTTATTTCTGTTACTTGATGACATATTATATGTTGGTAACACTTGCAATATTTCGCTCTACTCCGCTGAGAAAAGAGGAAGTGCATCGAAACTAACATTTTATTAACATCCAAGAAATTTCACTCTAGTATGAATAGAAATTGGATGGTTGCATAAACTAGATCTATAAAGATGATAATTGTACAAGTTTAAAAAAAAACAAGTGTAAAATTTAAAAGTACACAGTTGAATAAAAACTATTATTTTATAAATATTGCAACTATAAAATAGTTTATTCAACTACACATGTATTATAATTTTATACATAAAGCTTGTATGGATGTCATTTTTATGGTTTCGCTACTACCTGTCTTTCTGTTTGAGAGGGATTATATAATCTCCTGTAAGACCCAAGCAAAAATATTACAAATTGGTTCTTAAAACAGTAAATTTTTTAGAGGCACTTTAAGAGAGAATATCCTCTTCGAAAGAAATTTTTTTATTAATCTCGCTCAATTTTGTAAATCAATGCTTTGTAAATCAATTTTCCAATTACGTTATGAAGTTTAAGATAATATAATATGAAATATCATAAAGATAAATCTATTTAATTTGTAGAATAGCTTCTGGAATTTTTAAAATGTGTGATGTGATTTCGAGCTGATTCAATAAAGGTTATTGCTTTTAAATCCTTCCGTATAAATAGGCCTTTTAGGATACATTCCTCCAAAAATAGTATCTGTGTCCCTCGCAGAATTCCATGTAGAAGACGATAGAGCTCGATTCGTGGTCACGAAAATCGCGAAATGCGAACAACTCTCTCTGGTGCGACGTGAAATAACGCGGCCTGTAGCGGGGTTGACGGGGACCACGAGGGGAGTTGAGGGTACACGAGGGGGGCCGATCACGGTAGTAGTCGCGCCGGGCCGAGAACGGCAAAGGAGAGGGATGGCATGACGGCGGTGGCGGAGGGGTGGGCCCGGGCAAAGCAAATTATTCACACTCAAACGACTCCATTTCAATATCGGGCCGAAGCCCAGGGACAAAAGAAGGGCGAGATGCCTGTCTCCCTCCTGCTTTCGCTTTGCGCCGCACTGCTGCTGCTGCTGCTGCTGCTGTTGGCTGTTCGCCGCTGCTGCCCGCCGCTGTTCTGGTACCTCTGTCTGCAGCCTGCAGGCTTAACTCTCTTTTCCTCTCTCACTTTGCATTTTCTCCCTCTAACATGACCCTTTTCTCTTTCGATCTCTTTTTCTCTCTTTTTGACTCTTTCTCTCCCTCTGTTTCTCTCTCTCTCTCCCTCTCTCTCTCTC